AGGGAAGTCAGTAAAATACAGAGAAGACAAGTGGTGATTCTATAGCATCTTACTATGCTGATGGTCAGTGACTGTAATGGGATATGTGGGGGGGACTTGGTGATGGGGGGAGTCTACTAACCATAATGTTGTTCATGTAATTATACATTAATGATAGCCAAAAAAAAAAAACATATCCATAGTTGTGACCAGCAAGTTGTGACATGTGTAACACAGAGCCTTGGGAAAGATGGTACCTAACCATGGTCCACTGGTCCAGATTATAGAATGAATAAATGTTTGTTGACTGACAAAAACAAAACAAAACAATACAAAAAAAACTTCTAAATGACTCAGAGTGTACAGGCAATATCAACATGGATATTGTATTTTTTAACTGAAAGATAGTAAAATACCAAAGTGCAAAGATGTGTGGGATGAAGCTAAAGTTGTGGTCAGTGGAATTTATATCATTAAATCCATATAATTAATATCAGGAGTTAAATAATTTTTCCTGAGATATTAGACAAAACACAAAAGCTGAAAATCAATCATCAAACTAGCAAAAAAGCTAGCAAAAAAGAGTAAAAATTAAATTCAAGAAATTGAGAGAAGAAATAATAGGGATGAGACTCTAAATTAATAAAATGTAAGTAACATTTGATGAAAGGATCAACAAATGCAAATATTAATTGTCTGAAAGACCTATTAAAATGTACTGATGTTTAGCAAGACATGTTACCACAAGGATACGTAAACAGCAGTAATGACAGGGGACACACCACTAAAGGCATTAAAGGGTGTAAAAGGATGTCATGAATGCTTTGTGAACAAATTTGACAATTTAGATTTGAAGAACAAATTACCAGAAACCACTCCCTACCAAAACTGATAGAAGAGATAATAATCTAGTAACTATTAACCAAATTGAAGCTGTAGCCATCTTTCCTCAAAGAAAACTCAAAGCCCAAATGGCATGTTTGGTGAATTCTTACAATTATTAAGAAAGAAATAGTACTAATCCTATGAAAATTCCAGATAACTGAAAAAGAGGGACTACTTCCCAACTCACTGTATAATGTTAGCAGAAACTTGACACCAGACCTGAAAGGCTAAACACTCTCATGAAAATCTATGTGAAACTTCTAAGTAAAATATTGTAAATAAAAAATCCAACAACATATAAAAAGCAAAATTCATTGCAACCATGTGGGATTTATTGTAGAAATGCAGTCATGCTTTAAAATTCAAAAAGAAGCAATACAATTTCAGGGGTAAAACAAAATAATAATCACATTATTTCAATAGATCAGGCTAAAATTAAGTACTTAGTGAAGATTTTTTTTCAAACTTAGAAAACAGAAATTAAAGGTTTCTATGTTTGTAATCGATTTTTTAAGTATTTTTAACACTGAGTTTGAATATGAATTACATAGATCCTCACTTATAAGATTGAGAAACAAAGAATACCACCACCTCTTCTGCCCAGCATTGTAATGAAGTCCGAGCCAGTGAGATAAGAAAACTAAAGTCAGATGTGGAAACAGAGAAATATTTTCTTTTCATTTGAAGATGTGCTATTTTACATCTCCTGAGAATCTTGGTGACTACTGTCACTTTTATTAGGATGCCTTGCTACTAAGGCATTACTTGCTTCATCTTTCTAGAGTGAGGTGTCTGTTCCTGTCTTTGTTTCTCTATTGAACTTATTCTTTCTTTTTAGTACCACCAGTCACACTGAATGATGACTGTTACCATGTTTACTCACACCACTATGGATTGATTATTCATCTTATCAATATCAGACCAGTACCTGATGTATGCTTTGTACTTAAAAAGTTCTGGGTAGAGCGAGTTGGACTATAGTTATTTTTGATCTACAGGAAAAAAGTGGAAAACAGTGATTAAATAGGCTCACTAATAAAATAACATAAATGTAGTACACTAAGCATTGATTTAGTGTTATATTAATTAAAGGGAACAGAAGTGACAAAACGTGAAGTTATTTCATCAAATAGAGACATATTTAGTAGTACATACCCAAACACAATGGCGGGGTGGTCCACACTCCCTCCACACAATAGGACTCCTTAGATCCTTGAAGGAAATGGTGTTCAAAACATCTGTATTCCACTGAGGAGCCATTTTCATAGGTGTCTACTGTTGAACTAATAATGACTCCATTTTTAATAAGTGGAGGAGATGCACACATTCCTACAGATGCTGTGAAAATAATTTGTAAAGTATAAAATTGTTATAATAAACATCCAGTGCTTTTATCATTGCTATAGAAATAAAAATAGATGTTTCACATAAAAGCGCTTTTAAGACGGCTTTCAAATAATTTTTCAATATTGAAAGCATTTCTGTAAAACTTCATACTATAAAATTATTGCACTTAGAGTCTCAAAATATTTAAATACACATTTATAACTAGCAAGACGTCAACAATCATGACTTTGTGTGTCCCTGTGTAGCTGGCCAAGTGAAGTGTATGGCTGCAGCCGTGATTTCTGCCTGTGTTCTCTTCCTTTGTTCCCTATTAAATGGGATGGTCCTGTGTACACGGAGAATACAAATCTCTTGCTGCACATTAAGCCCCTTCCTGAGATGATGCCACCCAGCAAACCCTGAGAGCAATGTTATCCAGAATTGTTCATTGCTCACATGAGTGTTATCAATCCTCTGATAGTCTGGCAATATTTATAAGATCTCTCATTTCTCCCTTTTCGGATTAAAAGATGTCAGCATAGTCATCTTATTTAAGTGTTTATGTTGACTTGAAATTCTTCAGTTTTATAGATTAGAAGATGGTGGGGAATTGCTTAGGGTCTTATACTTAAACCCAAGTGGCTACATTGATCAACTGAGAAATTGTCAGAAAGCACTATCATTTTACCTTTTCTAATACATACAGGATATTTCACTTCTCCTCTATTGCACTGCACAGACAGCTCAGACAGTGGGGTCGATGGAGACAAGTCATACCCCTGTTTACATGCAAAATCTACCATATCTCCATGTAAGATCTGTCCTGCATACTTCCACTTCATCTCTATGTTATTCCTGTTCATGAAATCCACATTAACAGCACATGGCTCTGTAAGACAAAATACTCTTTTAAATTCTTTACTCACTAACAAATATGAAAGTGATTTTTTTTAAAAATAAAAATCTTAACAGGCATCAAAAGCAATATTTTATTCCATTTACCACACATATATGTAATAAACATATATATACACATGATGAAATAATTTATTATCATCAAATGACCTTGTACACTTCTTACAATATTCATTATATCAAAAATTTAAGTCACTTAGTTTGAAACATTGAGAGTATTGTTGAAGGCCATCAACCACTTAGGTTAATCATGATTTCCTTCCTATAAAAGAAAAATCTTGAAATAGAAAATGTACTTACTGTATAAGCGACACCTACCACCTCACATACATCAATGAATAAAACAAAGATTCTTGCCCTGGTGGAGTTTAACTTGACTGGGAGAAACATACACAATAAGCAATAAATATGTGGATTTTATAATTTGTGGCCATCTTTAAACATGTGGTAGATGAGGTGGGAACATGAGTAGTGGAGAGTAAGGGCTCTCAAAGGGCTGGGGGCAGGAGTTTCACTTTGAAGTAAGGGGTTGGGATCAGCTGATATAAGCAGTAATACTTGCACAGGCTTGAAGAAGTTTAGGCAGTGAACCATGTGATTTTCTGAAGAAAGGGCATTCCAGGCAGAGAGAATAGCCTGAGATGAGAGAGTACTTTACTTGGTTGAGGAATAGAAAGGAGATAAGAGGGGCTGGAGCAGGGTGAGGGTCAGGAAGACACCTAGGGGAAGCCTGCAGTGGCTCGTCGTCCAGAATCACAATCCACTGATGAGAAATTCTGCTCCTTGGCACCTCCGTTTTCCCACTGGCGGCGAGAGTGCATCCAGTTTTGAGGACAGATCAGATGTAGCTCTCCCCTCTTGCTACAATAAATGATCTTCACTCAGTATTTGATTCATTAGCACTAAGCCCACATGTATGAGGCAGTTGTTCCAGATATAAGAGAGATTTCTTCAAACCTTGTCATTCCTCATGAGGTTGTTCCCTTATGAGCTTTGCTATTACTATTTCAATCCAGTCTCTGTCTTCAGAGATGACCATGTTTCCATTCAATGTCTTACCAAGAAACTTTATAAAAACACGAGAGCCAGAAAACCTACAGGTGATTGTTTATCTGAATGTGAGTGGGAACAGCAGCTTAAGAATGACTTGAGAGAGAGGAGACCACAATGGAGATGTTGAAAGAGTTCTGGACTGAAAATCTAAACTTATGCATATTAAAAACATTATAAGTAAAATAAAAAATAGCTGAAATATGCATGATTGCCAAATGGATAATATAATTTATATAAAGAAAACTCTTACTATGAGGATAGACAAATCACTAAACTATGAACAATCCGTTCATTGGAAATAAAACAAGAAAATGGAAACGTGTACAATTAATATTTAAATCAAATTAAAATAATTTTAATTGATGAATTAACAAAATGCAAAGATTGAAATATTTAAGTTTACAAAAGGTAAGAAAATCACTACTTTAATTCACTGATAGTGGGGTTATAAACTTTCTGAAAGATAATTTGGCAATTAACAGAAAAGTTATTAAAATTCCAGATCTCTTTGATCCAGACATTACTCTTCAGAAAAGCTGAAAAAATAAAATAAAACATGTGAAATAAATATGGTTCACTTAAAAATTATAAAGTTCTTCTAAGTATACAAACATTTAGTACAAAATATATTACTGGGAATATAAAAATGTTGAAAACACACTAAACTTCCATCAAAAGTGATTAATTGTGGCATATCTGCATTGTGGAATACTACGCAGATACTAAAATATATACTGTGGGAATATGTTGAACCATGTTCATGATGTAGTTTGTTTGTGAAAAAAAACGTTACATAGACTCATGATAAAACATATTTTTCTGAATGTGTGTGTGTATGTAGAAAAGGGTTTAGAAGACCATTAACTAATCATTAATAGCATTTCTTTCAGACTGGATTACTGATATTTTGTTTTCTTTTACTTGCTTCTATATATTTATAAATAATTTGATAAACAACGATAATTTGCTTTTGTAGTTTGAAACACTATTATTTTCAATTAAATGACTAGCTTACCTTAATTTATAGGAAACATCATACCATTCTCTATTTTCAAAAGTCAAAGCTTAACAAGTTCATTGCAATTGTAGTGACCAGTTACATTACTTTTAAATGTCACTGACTAACAAAGAAATGAGGCCAACCTATCAGTTCGTAATGAGAACTGAGTATTTTTTTCTCACAGTTATCTCAGTTTTGGTACTTAAATAGGGTGCTGCTTCAGACCATTTAAAACATTAATGTTAACCACACCTTAACCCAAAATATGTTTAGAGTAACTACAAACATGATTTTATTTGCCCAAAAAGCTATAACTAAGGTGAGCATTCAAGTAAGGAATTGGTGGCAAAGAAAGCTATTAACAATATGCACTATCATGGAAAAACTTGGGTTAATTATTCTTTCCAAATGACATTCTGAAGACAGCCAGGCAGAGGCAGGAGGACTACAGAGGGCAAGTCAGTTAGGAGAACCATGCAAAAAGAAATCGGTCATAAAAATGTGAATATACTTAAAGTTATTGAAATGCATATTTTAAAATGGTTAAAATGGTAAAGTTTTGTTTTGTATCTCACCACAATTTTTAAAAAGGAGGGAGGTGAGAACTGATGTAGTCTTGGACCCGAAGATAACTAGAATTTCTGCTTAGAGAAATGAGTAGGAAAACACTGGGGAAAAAAGATTTAGACAAAAATCATCATTTCTGTGCTATAAAACATTGTGTGAAAATCACATACACATATAAACACAATGGTAAAAGCAATTCAGTGTATTCTGTTATAAAGGGAATAAGTTCCAGGGATCTGATGCACAGCATGGTGACAACAGTTAAGAAATTTCTGTACACTTGAAAGTTGCCAGGAGAGTGCACCCTATGTGCTTTAATCATAACAACAGAAAAGGTAGTTGTGTGAGGTGAAGGATGTGCTAACTAACCATATTGTGGTGATCGTCTCATGGTATATGCATGTATCAAATTATCACAGTGTATACCTTATATTTACACAATGATATGTATCAGTTGTGTCTCAACAAAACTGAGAAAAAGACTTTTTTAATTCAAGGTGTTCTCTGTCTTACCTAAGCAAACGGGTGGGGGTGACCATTTTCCTTGTTCACAACGAGATATTTTTGCTCCCTTCAATAAGTAATATTCATCGCATCTATATTCTACTGAGGATCCTGTCGTGTAGCTTGTCAGTAACCCATCAACAACAGCCCCATTTATTACATCAGGTGGAGGCTTACAATTCTCATTATTTTCTGAAAAAAATGTTATTTAAAATTAATATGAAATTATAACAACATAATGATATAGTTACCCATTCTATTGTACCTCAACATATGTATTATATAATTTAACATAATTTTATTTCTAAATTCAGCAGGAATGAGATAAATGTTATTCAGTTCAAATATTTTTTAAATTTACTAAGTAAGAATAAATAGCAAATGTCTTACCTAAGAACAAGTATGCACATTTTCAGTTTTCTTGCTTGTGAAGGAATCATGATATAGGTATTCTTAAAATGTGTAGAAAAGTAAACAATGGTCTTTCACCTAAAAAGATCACGGTCAGTCCTGAACCTGTCCTTTGTCAGTGTCCACTTCTATTTTTTCCCTCATTCTACTTCATCTCGGATCTCAGTCAACCCGTGGATGCAAATTTCCACTTTCTCTCTCTCTTTAGAGTCTCTCACTCTGCTAATTTCTTTTGCATCTAAATTTTCTCTTATGCAATAAATATCTTGGGAAAACATGTTTGTGGAGACTTCTCCAGGACCTGAACCAGGTACAGTAACGCAGCCTGCTGGTGCCCTTCAGGGAAACAAAAGACCAGGGGCAGGTCTCAGAGCCTGGAGGGCCTGGAACGTCCAGATGCGGAAGCGACGTGAGCGGGACCCGCCCAACACCAGACGGAGGGCTCTGCCCTAACCCGGGAGGCCCGACGCGCGGGGAGCAGGGAGGCGGTGGTCACGCAGGCGCCTGACCCGACGCTCCCTTGTGCACTTCCCGAAGCACATCCGCACTCGTGTGCGGTCACAAAGCTCAGAGGTCACGGTGCCAAACAAGTCAGGTAGCAGTGCCTGGCACTAAGGTACATTTAAGAAATTGTCTAAGTTTCCCAATTCTTTATGTTGACTTAAATCCTACAGATCACCTCGTGCACACGAAAAGCAGCCAAGTAGGTGTGGCACCCACATGTTTCTAGCTCTGCTAAGCAGTGGTCTCTTGCTGGAGGTATGTGGATACAAGAAAAGTGGAAATCGCATATAATAGGTTTAGCTACCGATGCTAACGTAGCATACATACCGACACACTCAGGGGGGAGTGTCCATTTTCCACGTGTGCAAGTGATTTCTTCGGATCCACGGAGATGATAGCCGCTTCCACACCCATATGCCACTTTATCCCCACTGTAATGAATGGTAGCAGATGACATTGGGGCACCGTTCTCAACCAAGGGTGGGTCCTCACAGGCTATCTTATCCTTTTCTTCTAGAAAAGGACAATTTAAAGACAAGAGACCATTTAGCCACACATACAGATCTCATTTCAGGTAAAACTTACTGGAGGCGTTGCTAACCAATGCATTTCGGAGGCTCTGTCCATTTTCCATTTTCACAACGTATTTCTTCTGATCCCTGTATTTCAAAATTAAGTCCACATTCTATGTGAATGATTTCTCCATGGCGATATGCTGTCGAGTACGTTTGAGTTTTGGAGTTTGGAGGCAGAGGTGGAGGAGGACATCGATTTCTTCTTCCTAAAGAAAAAATGTCAGCATATTCAGTCACGTTTAGGGAAGGTTTGATGAGCATGTTTGTTGTGCTGAGCCCTCGTCCCCATCTCCTGATGCGCTGCCTATGAGCATTCCTGTGTGACTTGCTTCTGACCACAACACAGCAGAGATGCTGGGACTAGGAGGTTATGTGCACAGGATTATGCCACGTGCTGTCAGCAGGCCATTCGTGCTGAGGCTCTCTTCAAGAGGGTCTGATTTTGAAAAAAGCAAGCTGCCATACTGTGAGCTTCCACACAGCAAGGGGCAGAGGGCTGCCTGTAGCTGGTGGCCAGGGAAAAGCTGTGGCCCTCAGGTGAGCGGCCGGCAAAGTCCTAAAGGCTGCTAACCCCGACATGTGTCTGCAAGCAGGTCTGTCCCCCGCTGAGACAGTCCTGCTGGGACCTGGATGGCAGTGTAGTTAGACTGGGGTGCAGAGGGCCCAGTAAGCCGCACCCAGACAAAGACCTGCAGAAACCGTGCAGTCATACAAGTGTGCTGTTCCCAGCTGCTTGGTTTGGAGCAGCATTGTTATGCACCAAAGAAAATTGAAACAGAAGCACAAACAGCATTCACGATCTCCTTTAATCCTAAAATGACTTTATAATGTTGGGGTTATTATTTCTCCCATGTTATAGATAAGGAAGCTGAAACTTCCAAAATAAGTAAATTATAAAGTAAGTGGCAAATCTGGTCTTGGACCCATGTCCCTCTGAATTAAATAAAGTATTCTCCTCCTAACTATTCTAAAATTTTGATACAGTAATTTCCTGTTGCTGTTGTGACAAATCACCACATTTAGTAGCTTAAAATAGCACACATCTATTCTCTTAGAATTCTGGAAGCCAGAAGTTCAGAATCAGTTTCACTGGGCTAAAATAAGGATGTCAGGAAGCTGCATCCTTCTGGAGGCCTTAGGAGAGAACAGGCTTCTTTGCCTTTTCATGCTCTGGGGGCTGCCTGCATTCTTTGGCATGTAACCCCTTCAAATCTCCCTCTGCCTCCCATTTACAAGGATGCCTGTGGTGACACTTAGGGCCTGCACGGATAATCCCGGGCATTATTCCTACATCAAATCCTTCACGGTCACATACGCAAGGCCCCTCTTGCTACTTAAGGTAACAGTTCCTGCCTCCAGGGGTTAGGGAATGGACATATTTGGGGGCAGAGGGAGCCATTATTCAGCCTGCAGCACCACCTATCTAGCATAATGACTACTTACTAGAGAAAATCACAGGTGCACTGGCAGGCTGACTGCTTTGGATGGGTGGGGTGTGGAATAACAGTAACTAGGTCTGCTATTTGTTTTTGAAATAACTTGCTACAGACAATCAGCTAATAATCTTCTGCTCTACTGTTAGACCCAGGGCTCTTGAGCATGACTGGAAAATCAGGGAAACGTTGTAACTGATGTTCAGTGACTTTAAAGGATGACGACAGTGCGGGGGCGGCCCCATGGCACACTCCTGGTCAACTCCTGCTTTGATTCCCCTCAGAGCTTATTTCAAATGTTCACCACGCTCTCCCAAATTCCACTTTCCTGTCTTTCTCCTGCGTGTCACTAATGACATTATTTTCTGTGTTACAGAGAACAAAGAGGCTGTCAAGCCCAAAGAACTCTCCGCTTCCAATCCTCAGACTCCTGTTTTCTTTTAGAGCCTCGTCCAGATGCTGCCCCTCACCTCTTTGAGCATTACCTGCCTCCACACCAATCCAAGCCTTTAATGTTTGCTCAAACACCGGACTTTGTTATGCCCTTTGTCAGGCTGAATCAATTACTTCTTTAAATCCATCTCCTCTGCTAGACTAGGACTCCTTCGTATCTCACTGTAAGGTATTTGAATGACTGTGGAATCAGTGTCTTCTACAGACCGTCATACTACTGGTGTGAACACACTCAGGATAGGCACTTAACCACACCCAGCTCGTAGGAGATGACCTAGGCCTTCATTTTCACTCTGGGTAATAGTCTGTTGGGGTTTCTGCTCTTTACTCCACTATTTTGAAGATTGTATTTTCACATTAGGAAATATGTGGCCAAATATGAAAGTATCCTCACAAAGCTGGATCTAGTAATTTCCCAATAAGAAGTTATTTGTTATAGTAAGAGTTAAATTTACAATAAGACAGTTTAAAAGATATATCCACTCTACAAATTAATGCAAAACTTAAGATTTCTTCAGGTTATATGTATTAAAGATAGCTGAAAACAGCATTGACTTAGAGACAATGTTTCTTTAAAAAAATATTACTCAGGCCAAGAATTAGGTATCATCAGGGAAATTTTTTTCATTGGAATTAAGTCAATTCAGACATGATACGTTATTTGTATGAATGTGAAATTTCTAAAATTACCTTCACATATAGGAGATTCTGGGTACCAGCCGAAGTCATAGCACTGAATTAAATCAGATCCACTTAGATAATAATTTTCATGACAGAAAAACTGAACTACATCTCCTTCTTCATAGGTTTGCTTTATAGGATGAAAATAACCATTTTCTATTAATCTTAAAGAAGAGCACGTTAATTCTAAAAATGAAAGAAAAAATGAAAGTACAAGTATTTTTCCTGTTAGGACAAAATTCAGCTACTACTGACATGCCATCCATATCTGAACACAAATCAGTAAATTTGCCTTATTTTCTTAAATATAATAAGAAGTGTCCATTTATATATTCATTAAATGCAGTTAGGCTTATTTTAATTTAATTGAGCTAAAAGGAATTTTTCCTGTTTGAAGGTTTTAAATGATCAAAGCCTACTAGTGACATAATTAAAACCAGAAGCAAAAAGGTACAGGAACTGGAGCATAATGACTTATACACATTCCATAAGAGAAGTTTTCAGAGTGGAAACATTGTCTTTCAAACAAGAACCTACTGGCACACGTGGGCGTGAGGGACCATCCAAACGGGAGGCACTCCGCCTCCTCCGCCGTCTGCCCTCCGGCCGTGTAATAGCCTGTAGCACATTCATATCGCACCTTGTCCTTCACTCTGAATATTTTCTCTGTTGTGGAATAATTTCCATGATATAATTCAGGTGCCAGGCACGTTTCTAAAAAAATTGACAATATTTACTTTATGAACTTACCACGAAACCTCAAATATTCAAAAGAAATCTTAAATGTATTTTCACAAACTCCTAAGAATATATTGTGGCATCAGCCATGCCAAAACAGAGAGGCAGTCATTAGCCCTTGCGCCTCCGGTCCCTTCATATATGCCTCTATTTTAACTCCACCAGTTTTCTGTTCTAAAAGTCTAGTCTAGTGTAAACTTGACTAAAGGCATAATTCAGCTGAAGGTTGTGTAGTAACATTTTTTTGTTACGCTCCGTCCATGGATTTGTACAAGTTAAACAGCTAACAATGCACTAACAAAGCATGTATTTCAAATTATTGGATTATTTTAAGTATATCTGGGCCTGTTTTACAATATAGAATAATGTGCCTTATCTTGAATTCTTCCCTAATAAAGGAAATAGTAGTTTACATATATTGCAAGAAACATGTTTGTTAAGGCTCTTCCATTTTATTCCACTCTAGTTGTTTTCTCTGTTAGTATAAAGTAGGAACTGCTAGAGTAGGTTTGTTGTGGGAGCTGAGAATCCTCTGGGTTAAGGAAACACTTAGCATTTAAGAAAAAATATATAATGATCACTTCCTGCCTTTGCAGACACACTGCAACTAATTCTATTAAATAAAAACGCCTACCAGTATAAGTGTAAACCTCACAAGTCCCAATCTTCAGTTTTATGACCTGATTTTTAAATACCTTGTTCCTTCCTGCAGGTTGGCTGAGAGGACCACCCATCCGCGAGACACCGCACCACCTCTTCATCCTTCCCACTCGTGGTTTTGTGTCCTGAAGCACAACTGTAGCTCATGCTCTCTTGAATTTTGTACAGTATTTTTACATCAGAGATGTAACCATTTATCAGATCAGGCTTGGTGCATTTTCCTAGGGGAAAAATATTTCTTTGCTTAACTTGATAAAATTAAGTTTGTGTTTTACTAAGTTATAAAACTAAGGCAAATATTTATTATTCTTTGAATTTGGAAGACAGATAGAAAAAATGTCACTCCACAATTCCTTAATTTAGTTTGGTTTTGGAAATATCCTAGATGTTCTGCACCAAGTTTCTTTTAAAAATTGATTCAACACTGACATTCTTTGTATTTACTAATTTTATTTTAGTCATTCCTAACCCTACCACATCTACTTTTAGAAAATATACCCAGAACTCTTCCACTAACTAACTGTCATTAATAGCAAATAGAAGGAATTTCTTTTGGATTCACTTCCTAATATAAGTCTACTGTGTTTGGTAATTTTTAACATCATGTAGCAAAAGCACATACCGACTTTATGGAGCTTTAAATATTTCTGTAGACATCTTGATGTGTAAACTTTGTTCATTTATTTTTTTCAGCAAATGACCACCTACTGCACAGTAAGACTTCACAGCCAGTCCATGTGGACTGTGATGGAATCACAGACGTGTTACTCAAAATCTTTGAGTTTACAGAGTGGGATAATATATAAATTTATCATAACATTATATACAGTTCACTTATTCTTTAAGCCCTATTTTTAGGTTCTCCCAAAAAACCAATTCAGAAAGGTTAAGAGACTTGCCCAAGATTAACAGCAGTTTAAATATATTTATTACTTGCTGTATGGCAAGCAGTTTGTAAGGACCATCTCACTGAGGCAGCATTTTCCCCTTTCATAAAGGAGGAAGTTAGGCTCTGAAGGTTTAAGTCACCGCCAGGGGCAGAGCAGGGTTCACACGTGGGCAGTTTGACTGCAGAGGCTGTACCTTAACCATTGTGTGGCACTGCCTGGGCTCTCTTCTAGCTCCCATTTCAATGCTCTTACCTCCAATCTACCACAGTAAATAAATCTGAGGTGTTTATTTTTTATCTTCTAGTTATGAGATTTACTAGAATCAATCTATGATCTATGTTAATACTAAAAGTACAATATTTACATTTATGGTCTGTCCTCAAGTCATGGAAGGGATAATTATCCCAAATGAATATGTTTACTAGATACACCATTGCAACAACCATACCCATTTCCTCTTCTAAATGAACCTGAGTCAACCAAAGCCCCTTACTCTGCAAAACAGAGCTTAGGGAATTCTTCACTCAGAGGTCATCTGACCCAGTGGAAGCCAATAAATAGTCTGACTATGGTGTGGCCTGATGTGAAATAATGAGATGGGCCTATCAGACTTCTTTTTCACAAATTTAAACTAAAAATCCAGAGAAAACACATTTTCAGCAGATATTATGAGAGAATTTGGCATACAGACAAGAGAAGAATCTTTCAGATGATAAAACAGAGTAACAATCTTATTCTTCCTAAGGCCAGTGTCAAGCATTCTTCTGGATTCTTGTGCGGAATTACCTGAATCAGTTCCTTATTCCTTAAAGTAACTCAATTACATCTCTGTTCCTTGCAACTGATAATAACAATTTCAGTGATTATCATTTATCCTTTTCATGGGTTATTGTCGAAAACATTTTAATGAGAAACTTTATAGAATTTAGGATTATGCGTTCATTTTGTAAAAAAGATAGTGGGCCAGTAATTTTGTTCTTAGCTACTAAAAGGTTTAACCACCTGCCACACTTTTGCAGTCGAATCTATTGGAGTGCCACACACACCATTCTGGCACCTCCCGCGGACTTACTGAGGCACCTTGGCTCCGGGGACCAGCCTCCTGCAGCACATGTGGTCTGCCCCTCTTGTCTCCCGGTTTCAGTTGTGTAGCCAGGCAAGCAGGAAAATGACAATTTTTTGTGTATGCTCATTGGAAAGTAATAACTTTTAAAAGAATAGTAATATTGGGCAATCCGTCCATTTTCCACATTAGGAAGACCACAAGGTTTCTCTGAAATGAGTAAATATCAAGTTGAAAATTGAAAAACATAACTAAAACCATGAAATTTGTGATCAAGCAATAATACATTTTTGAATCAAAGTACTTGCAATATGCTAGCAACTCCAACACCCAATGGTCAGATAAAAAGGGGCAGGCCATTGACTCTGGGAAGCTTTCTCTAACTTTGTAAGACAGCCCTCACTAATAGAAACACAATGCAAGCCACATATGTAATTAGCCACATATAGTAGCCACAAAAAGGAATAGTTGAAGTTAATATTAATAGTAGGTTTTATTTGACCCAATGTATTAAAAGCATTTTTCATTATTTTCTTCTTACTAAGTCTGAACTTATATGTGCTTACACTTTCAGCACATGCTAGTTTGGACTAGCCATATTTCAATAGCCACATGTGGCTAGTGGCGACCATACTGAACAGCAGAGTTCTTGAAATAGATGATGCTCTCCTAAGATATGCAAACCTATGAAATTCCAAAATGAATGGCCTTCTTAAAGAAAAAAGACAACCAATTAAAAAAACAAATAAAACCTTGAATAAGACCTTTACAGAAGAGGGCATTTAAATGGTCAGAGACCTAGTAAAAAGTACTCAGCTTTATTAGTCAACAGGAAAATGCAAATTTAAACCACCATGAGATGGTACCACATATTCACTAGAATGACTGAAATAGAAAAGACAATCTCACTGATTGTTGAAGATGTGGAGAAAATGGAACATGTACGAGTGAGAGTGTAAGTTAGCACAACCCCTTATGAGAAAATAGTTCAGTGATTTTTCACAAGGCAGAATATGCACAAACCCCATTAAAAAGCATACATCTGTGCACCTCCAAGACATGTAAGAGAATATTCATAGCAGTCCTGTTCACACAGTTCCAAATGGAAACGATTCACATGCCCATAAATGGGGGAGACGGTAAACCCATTTTAGACTATGCTCACAATGGAACATTACACAGTCAGGAAACATGTATGCTGAATGGTGAATCTTACAAACATGCCAAGTGAAAGAAGCCAGTCACATATGAGTACATATTGTATTTACTTATAGTATTGCACTTACTCATGAATTTTTTTATTCAGATACAATCTTTGTATGTTAGTTTCAGGTGTACAACATAATGATTCAATATATGTACATATTGGGAAATGATCCCCACAGTGATTCTAGCTGACATCATTACCACACAGCATCTTAATGGTTTTTCTTGTGATGATAACTTTTAAGACCCACTCTCTCAGCAACCTTCAAGTACAGAACAGCGTTGTTCTGTAGCCGCCGTGCCGCACAGAACATCTCTGGACCTGCTGTTTCAATACTTGGGAGCCCTGCTCCCCGTCCACCCCCAGCGCACACTCGCCCAGCACCTGGGCAGCCAGCTGGGCAGGGGACAGTGTGGGGTCGCAGGGAGGAGGCCAAGGGGCACCTGGTGGCCAGCTTCTCACCACAGTCGAGTGCCCCGCAAGCAGCAGGTCCAGGGCAAAGCGAGGCTGCTCCGAGAGCGCAGGAACGTCGTCTGCCGAAGCACCAACCACCTGGGACCCATGACCCGCCACGGGTGAGTCCACAACCCTCAAAAATCCCCACAGCCTCCAGCAAGGCCTCAGAATGGCCCTAGGTGCCCAATCCAGAGGGGCGATGCGAGGGACCGCGGTGACACCTGTTGCTTCACCACGGGTGTCCCGGGCCGGTGCAGGGCAGCAGCCGCCCCAGACCTTGTGCATCTCTCTGGGTCTCTTGGCAGCGTCCCTCTGATGGGCCCTCCTTTCTCCGGCCGACCTCCCCCCACCTTCGCGTTCCGCTCCCTCTGCGCCCTGAGCCTTACTCCTGGCAGGAGCCACTGCTGCCCGCAGGCTTCCCCGCAGGCCCACTCCTCCCCACCTGGCAGCTGATGCATCAGTCGGCAGCTACCGCCTCGCTCCCATGCTGGTGCCAGCCCTGTTCTCGCACCCCTTCCATAGGCCAGTGAGCATGGCATGCTATAATTAAGTACAATTAACTCCTTTCTTGCCCCTAAGCTTCCGGCTGGGGTTAAGGGAAAGCACGGTCCCTGTCCTCAGGCAGTGTGATATGAGTTATAAGACTTGGTCATTCAATATGACCAAATATATATTTTCCAGGTGTATTTGGTCTTCACCCAGTTTCTGAAAACACTGCAGTCTTAAACGTGAAATGGGTGTTTTCTCAGATTAATGAGAGACTTTGGACCCCACCCAAGGGTAGGGTTTGGAGGCTGAACCCACCAATGGTCTATGACTTAGTCAATCATGACTATGCAATGAAGCCCTCACAGAACCCCTCTCTTCTCTCTTGGATCCTGCTTATCAGTGGGGTAGAGCTCCTATGCTTGGGGAACCAGAATGCACAGGGCTTCACGAGGACAGAATCTCCTTTATTTAGGACCCTGCCCTGTGTCTCTTCACCTGGCTGTTAACTTGTATCCTTTACTAAACTGGTAAATGTGTTTTCCTGAGTTCTGTGAGCCACTCTAGCAAAATAAAACCCAAGGGGAGGTCGTGGGAACCTCCGTGTCTGGAGCGGGGGCTGGAGGGCAACCTTGTAGGACGGAGCCCTTCACCTGGGGTATCTTGTGCTGTCTCCAGGCAGATAGCATCAGAATTGAGTTGAGTTCTCCAACACCCTGCTGGTGTTTGGGAATTGCTTGGTGGTGGTGTGTGGGAAGAACCCCTCCCACATACTTACACATTGGAATTGGGTCCACAAACCCAAATGGAGTTATACTACTATTGCAGTTGTGTGTGATATAGTTATTGTTATATATATATGTGTAGGAAAACACACGCTCAGACAGCTTACATTTTTTTTGTGTATGTCAAAGATCATAACCATATAATATTTTTAAAAATTAGCTAGGATATTGCAATGTCTTCATGGTGTAGATAATAGACAATTAGATCAGCTGTTTTCCTATTTAGACAGAAAAAATAAAGCTAAGGGGAGCCACAAAAAATTATCTTACTGGAAAATCAAATGCATCAAATAAGATTAATTCTATTTATTCCACCCTTATAATTCTAACTGCAGAACTCTTTTGGTAGAAAATTCAATTAATTCAACTAAATTCAAGTTGTAAAATTCAACCAAAAGGCAAAATTGTAATCCATGGGATGCTTTATTTCAACAAATTCCCTAAGGTGATTCAGAAAGCCTGGCCACTGATGCGTCCTACTTTGGCTATTTGCTCTTGCTGACAGCCAATGACCTGCGGGGTTTCTCATCCCCACAGTGATAGTGCGTTACTCCTGAGTAGCCCACGTCCCACACTGACTGCTCACTCTCACACTAACCTCACTAGAACACTAGGCACTCTGGCTATAAAGATTGCTAATGATTAGAGACCCACAGGAACTAGTTTGTCTGGACAGTCATGATTTACACCTGGTGTCCCACCTATTATTAATAGATTCTCCTTCCCCTCTCAAAAGTGCCCTTCTTTGCATTATTACTCATATGGTCCTCCTACTAATCATTACTTAATCACTTCAACCAATGAGTAAATTAGCATAAAAATCAAAGTGTCAAGAGTTGGAAATCTTGCTGATTTATGGTTATTTCTTTTTCAAATATCCCACACTAACCTCTCCTTTTATGAGCAGAGAATTAAAATTGCACAAGCTTTCCTGTGGTAAGAATGGATTCTAGTATGAAATTAGAATTAAGGTTAACATTCAACTTCTAAATGGTGGTTGTTAGCCTGGATACCCTTTAAAATATTTAGATCCAGGTCTCCTATGCCCCAAAACATAAAGATACAAAGGTCTTTTCTTGGCTTGTTTTTATAAATTGTTACAATAAGAATGATTTAATAGTTTTGCCCAAAGGAAAAAAAACCTGTCTAAATATCACAACAAATCATATTGATAAGTATGCTTTCTTTAAAACTGATACATAACAATGAAAGGCTATATTAAAAGTTTAAGTTAAATTAATGTTAGAATTTCCCTTTATAATTTTTAGAAATCAAGAATATTAAAAATTGATTTTACCTTCTGCATAGAGTTCTCTGGAGATGACTAATATGACGATAAACACCAAGTCTATTGACCTCATCCTCAGCGGTGTGCTCAGTAAGGATTTTAACAACTCTAAAGCACTAGGGACTCCTCATGAAGTACACAATACTTCTGAGGAAAAAGTTAATTATTCACAACATCTGTCTAAACTCCCTTGTAACAAGCCTTACATTTCATTTAAAATATTTTTGACTAATGCTAAAGTAACAGTTATGTTAATTGACAATACTTTTAATGCCAGAATCCAGTAAGAACATGATAAGGAATAAGGGCAACAATAATAGCACATAAAAAATTAACTCAGACTGCATAAAAAAATGGTGAATTTCAACCCTAATTCCCTTTTGTAAGTCCATAGGGTAAAGTTCACCTGTGGCCATTGATTTCTTTACACCATTGAGCAACTGAAGAGATGAACTTAGGAACAGGAGATAGAGGATACCTGATGTTAAGCATAGTGTTGTCTGGCTGTCTACATCTAGATTAAAGAGAAAAATGACCTTTATTGTCTCAAGAAATGAGAAGGTAATATTATTGATAGTAATGTCCTAGTGTGTAGAGTTCATACGCTGTGGCAAGTTGAGGTAAGTACTGTGCTATATTATCACTTATGAAAAGTGTTCTCAGTGTCTAGCTGTGTACCAGGTCATGTTCTAGTCTTGGGTACATGGTTGTGAAAAAATAGATTAACATTACTGTCCTTATGGAGCTTACATTCTAATTGGTTTTAATTTAAAGTACAAAATAATACTAAGAGGTGGGAGCTACTATTTCAATATTGTAACTTTTAATTAGAACAACACATTAAAAGTGCACATCCCATCAGTCAGTGCACAGATAAATGGATTCTCACAAATTAAACATATCCATATGAAAATACAGCACCCCACAATTCCCCTTCCAGGCCACTGCTAAGCCCATCCCCAATCTTAGACACTATCTTGACTTCTAACAGCAGAGACCAGTTTTGCCTGGTCTCGTACTACATAAGTGGAACCATACAGCTGTTGTTTTTTCGTCTGGCTTCTTCTGCTTAACATTTTGCTGGTGAGATTTATCCGGATCTTGGGCTGTAGTATAGTTCCTTCTCTGCATAGTGTTTCATTCTGGCAATGTGCCACACTTTATCTCTCTGTGCTACTGTTCATGGACATTTGGGTGACTTCCAATGTACGGCTTCTGCTTATTTTAATTTGAAAATTTTCAACATGACCTCTATCTGGACTCTACCTACTTTTAAAAATCACATGTAATCCATCCTTTTTTGACACATTTCAAAGTAAATTGCAGGTCTCTGTACAAGCCCCTCTAAATACTTAAGCAAATATATCATTAATTCAAGCACATTATTTTGTATGCATTATTCTTTTGATATGAAATTTACAAAGAAATGCACAACTTTCATGTGTGGATTCTATGGGTCTTGCATAATGCACACATCTGCACACCGCAGACCCCTCCCAGGTACCATCATCCCAGAAAGTTCTCTTATGCTCCCTGCCCAGGCGGACCCCACCTCCACTCCCCTTAGAGCAGCCACTGCCCCAACTCTTCCACTAATCATGCTGTTATGGAACCTCGTATCAATGGGAAAATACAAGCACTCTTTTTTGTAAGGCCTCTCTCGTTTAGAGTTCTGTTTTGCTGTTGTGAACATCAGTCCTTCATTCCCTGTCATTGCTCAGTTTCATTCTAAGCTTAGTATTAAAGTTGAAGTGCTTTGTCAAAGATCAAAAAGCTAGTATTAAAGCCAGAATTCAAAAAAAGCCCTTTTTAAAAAATTAAAATACATATTGGGATATAAAAATATCTAAGTTGTTAGACTATCTACTGTTAAAAGAACATATGGGAATGTGAACAGTTCCCAGGAATGT